CCACTACACAAAAAATATGGACAACAGAAAAAAATACTCTTTGGTATTTCAGTATTTCAGACCAGGCAACATGGTCTTAATCAAGAGCAGGGAATGTTGCTAGGAACACGTCATCATTGCAGCATTAGTGCCATGACTAGCACCATGATACCCTATAACACAAGGTGCTATTTTTTGTTTTGAAGTATACCATGTTGTTATATTTCAGAAAGCCAGTTTTGCACATTCTGAGGAGAGATCAGTGAGTTTCTTGTTATTTTTAGTACTCACTATTACTGATATTCCTTTCTTGTAATGGTAAAGAATGAGTTAAACTACAACTGAACTTCTTTGTTCCAATTTTCAGTGCATGTTTTTGAAGGTAGGATTACTACCGTGGGCATATAAACAGAAATAAAAATATTTATTTTTTATATAATGTAAACAAAGGGTCTATTCTATTTTAGTTTTGACATAGCAAATTGAGATTTGTGGTCAACTGGTTACTGGCTTCAAAGACTAATCCATCTTAATGCTAGCAAAACAGTTTGTTAATTTTCCTGGGAAAGAAGGTTTCTTTAATTCACATATCTACATATGGTAGATATGATTCTTTCATTTACAATGGCATTTGATAAAATCCTACTTTTATAAATGATGCATCTGCTTTTAATGTCTTAAATCCTGTGATTGAAAAGACAAATCTTCCCCCTTGTCTTTTTTTTTAATATTTAAAAGGCCTTACTGCCTTAAAACATACATCAAGCAACATTGTAATAGAGAAATACACTTTTAAGACAAAGTGACAGATTTACATATCTGTGTGATGTGACTCTCTTGACAACCAATAAATGTATTATATTGATGAAGTGAATATGTCCTCTATCTGGTCATTTTCAACTGAAAACTAATAACCAGCATCACCATATCAGGCATGCAATAACCTGGGTTAAAACTAGGTTCATCAAATAAATCACTCAGGAATTTTTCTATTTCTTTCCCAAGACACGTTGCACATCTGCTTAGTGAAAGGAGGAAAGAAGCAATATTTCTTTGATCAAAGTCCTTTTTAATATCCTTGTATCTGTCCTTTGGGAATGCTATCTCTGGTCTTGAGCCTGGGAGAGATACTCAGCATCTCCTGAAAGGTGCTAAGCACCCTTTTATTGCCATTGACTAAGACAAGAATATTCTGTTTCTTTCAAGACAGGGCTCCTCTGGAACAGTTGCTGATGCTACATCACGTTCTAATGATCCAGCAAATGACATAAAGTCAAGAGTTCTAAAAAGAAAACACAAGGTGTTTTTAATGAGTCCCAGTTTGTATCAACAGCTTTCAGGAGAAAGCAAAAAAATATATATATTCTTAGCCAGAAAAGCATACTGCATTAAATTTACCCCAAGCCTCTATCTCATAGACATGAAACACCTATACATATGTAGAGATCTCTAAGAAACACTTTGAAAAGCTACATTGTGCTTTTAACTTTTTATAAAGTCTTATTAATATCATTTAGAGTTGCCATGTGGCTGGCTTCCTGCCTGGCCTCTTTTACTATAGACTTGGCAGTTGTTATCCTGAGCACCGCACATGTGCGGATGAAGCTGAGAGTGGGTAGCAGCCATTTGTCTGAGGCAGCTGGGTTTTGTCATATTTCAAACTGGCAACCCTAATGCTTGTTCTTACGGGACACAAATCCGGTATGAAATTTGCAGAGCCGAGTCAAGGCCTGGCCTGGCACACACGATTCCATTTTTTCACATGAGGATGGATGCAGAAGAACAGGGGAATCTGGCTCTATGCCTGCCAGAATCTTGGTAGAACTCCCAAGAGTTGGGTTGGGCCTTGAGGCCCAACTCCTGTAAAAGCAGGATTGAGCTGTTAAAATGCAGCCCCTACACGCTCCGAGCTGCAGATGTAGGACTCTTCTTCTAGTGGAAGTTAGCAGACACAAATATGGCATCTTGTGAGAAACATACTGAAAATGTGGTGATATCAGGTATTTGTCCCTCTTTCCAGTGCATTTGTAGGTAGGAATAAACCTGCACATATACACTGCTGGGAACAAATAGGTGGGAAGCCCACCTGCTAAGCCAATGTGCCATTGATGGAATAACAACCTACCAGTGCTATTTATTGTCCTAGTTACAGAAGTGACAAAACAAAGTAAAAGCAAATCCACTCTATTTGTATAGCAGTAATTATATATAGCATACAAATAGCGCACAAGAAAATACAAATGCAAAAAAAAACAACCAACAATTAAAAAAATCTAACCAGTAATATATATATTCATCTAAGCACAGTTGAATGGGAACATTCTAATGGCAATAAAATCCCCTAATATACCGTTGGCTAACAATATCTAAAGCAAAGCAGAAATGCACTTCTGCAGTTATCTGTACCGGCTATTCTATTTTTTGTCTTTGCATTTGTATGCCTAGTCACCAGCACATGTACCACTTAAGGTAACACTGGCTGTAAAGGCTTCAAATTGCACCTTGACTGTACGGAAAATTCAGCCCACTGAAGAGAGAAGCCTGTAAGGTGTTCAGGTGTGTTGGCTGGAATAACATCTGATATTGTGTTTATTTCTCATCACAAAATGAAATTCATCACAGTGCACAGTACATGCTAAAAGACTCCTACCCCATTTAAGATCTTAGGTTAAATGCCACTGCTACTGAACCCATACAGCTACTGATCTTTGCTGAAGACCCAAGTAGTTTACATGGGCCCAATAAACTTGAATTAATTTATCTCAAAGATTTATCTTAGTTGGCTATCACATAACTCTTAATACATTTTTCCTACCAAAAGAAGTGTCCAAATTACTGAACTTACATGACATTATATAGAAGGAGAAAATCCTTTTATTTCTGACTTGGAATCAAAATCTAACTTTTTTCTGGCATCATGGTGAAAGTATTTCTATGTATCTACAAAATTAGGAGAATGCTTAAAGTTGCTTTTGAGGGTCATGCATTTGGCTAAATGGGTCTTAATTTCCATCCAGTGCACTCATGGTTACATCCTATGAAATAGAAATCCTGTTTTTATACTATGAAATAACAATCCCAAAACTGCACTGCTCCAATGCTTACATTGTCACTCGATTTGGAATAGATAAAGGTAAATCTGGACTAGTTCTCACCGGGCAGGTGGTTTTCAACACAGATATACACAGGTGAAACTACTGCAGGTCTGTGTCTGTACATGTCCCTTCCTCCAGAGCACAAGTGATGGGGACAAGAGATGAGTTGGTCAAATGCCAGCTCAGGGTCCCCTTCCTCCCTTCTTCCTCCAGTAGCATGGAAGACGTAGCCAAGAGACATCTCTGAGCATAGGCTCTGAAGGCAGTGATTAGATGGAGAGCTTGTGTTTTACAAATCGTATCGTGTTTGAGCTGCGCCTGAAATTACAAAGATCATCTTATGTGCTGCAGCACTGAATCCTGAACTGTAATTGGGAAAGGAGTGAAAAAATGTGAATCTTTTCCTATCTTTTGATAGCAGTATCTCATGACAGCGGCAGCTTTCGTCAGTGCTCCAAGCTTATGTTGTCTTTATTAAAAACTAGTAGCTGTACTAGTAACTTGCTTTGTTTTTTTAACTCCTAAACATGAAAAGCAAATGTGAATCAGCCTCTTTAAATTAAATATGAGAAACAATTACATTTTGACAGTTTAATTGCATTCTTCCTCCAACATAGCATTCTAAACAAGATACCACATGTATTTAGCATGCTGATTATATTTTTAGATTGTTTTGCAATTAAGGAAGTATCCCTAAAAGAGATAAAATAATTGGTTGACTAAATCACTATTTCTTGAGGGAACAGTATTAAGAAACGAATGTTGAATGGTTATATCCATAATAATTAGCTTTTAAATCACTGCTTAAAGGTTTTAGGTTTGTAGCCTTCAAAATTGTATCTGTCATTCAATTTGCTGCATATTATTCAAATTTTCTTGTGTAAAAGAAACTAAAAATAACAAAAAAGAAGCCCCAAAAAAACAAATGCTGCCAACAAAACAGCTCTCAGTATAACTGACAGGGTCTCTTAACTATGAATGATGAAAAAATCCAGCACCCAGAATGCCTTTAAGCAAGACAGTTCTGGCCTGTGTGTCTGATGGGCACAGTGTTGTTGACACTGCAAAAAAAGAAAAAGGTAATTATTTATTTCAAAATTGCTGAGTAGCCAAGCACAGTCCTACTTCACAAGATCACCGCACAGCATTTACATTGCTCTTGTTTTATGCACATTCTTCTTTCTTCTCTGGAGAAAAAGTAAAGATTAAATACCAGAAATTTTTCCGACTTTCTGTTGTTCTGTTCAATAGTTCGTTTAAATGGAGAGGTAGGTTCAGAGTTTGAAAAAGAACACGCCATTCCCCAGGTTAAAACCACCCTTGAGTGATGATCTTTGGATACTTTCTTTAAAAAAGAAAAGAAGTGACGCAAAACATGCAAGCTGGAATCAAACTCTCTATTCTGTTGAAAAAACCTCATGATTTTAATTGCCATTTCAATTCATTTATGTTTTCCAAACTTTTTTATTTTTATTTTGACAAAATATTTGCATGCAATTTTCACACCAAAAAGAATATCAACTTCTTCCAGTGAAATCAATGCAAGCTCTCCTTCTGATAATTTTCCATGTAAATTTACACAATGCCAAGCCAGTATTTCCAGAAGAGACACAGTAGGCTTGTGGTTCACAACAAGACCAGATGCAAGTTCCTGGAACGTGCTTTTAAGATACAAAAAAAAAAAATAATAAAATAAAATTATATTTAGAAAGAAGAAAGACAGAGGCTGAACTGCAGCAGAGTCTAAAGCAACACTGTTAAGATTTCTCATCAGAGAAATAAAGTTCAACCTGCTTGCAGTTCTCTTTAAGGTACACTGATTTTATACATTTATGACTGAGATGCTGTATGGAACTTTTGAGTCTCAGCCTGATCCACTGATTGATCACCTGAGGCAAGGACTGGGTCAGTTGTGGGAGCGCAGGTGAAGGCAATTCACCTGTGTGACCAGAAAGGGTGGAATCTAGACACCATTTAAGGGCTGACTGCCAGTGGGGAAGGATCTCTTTTTGGAGATCCCTCCTTTGTGAGCTTTTCATCCTGAGCATAAATCTTTGGATATGGGTGACTATTCCTTCTCCATTTGTTCCCTTGCTATCTCACTATGATGCTCTTTCCAACTGTGCTTTGTTGGCTGTACAGATGCATACAGAAAGGTGCATGTAGACAGTTCACTGAGGAATGATTAGTAAGGGAAAAGAAGCATGAAAGACATTTGGGGTTAGCCCAAACATATGGAACAAAGTGGAGAAAGCATGCTGGTGAGAACAGGAGTACAACAATGCTAGATGGTCTAATCAGAAGAAAATGTTCTCAGGCCCCAGCAGCAGCGCTGTTGCAGGAAGGGCCCAGCACTGCTGAGGTCCATGGGTCTGTTTGTCCCTGAGCAGAAGAGCTGAGGAGAGGCCTCATGACAGCCCACAGCTCCTCATAGGAAGCAGAGGGTCAGTGCTGAGCTCTGCTCTCTGGAAACAGCAACAGGGCCTGAGGGAACGGCACAGGGCTGCATCAGGAGGGTCATGTGGGGGTTAGGGAAAGGCTCCGCACCAGAGAGCGGTGGGCACAGCACCTCTTGGAGTTCAAGACACGCTTTCAGACATATGGTTTGATTTTTAGGTGGTTGTGTATGGAGCCAGAAGTAGGACTCAATGATCCCTGTGGGTCTCTTGTGGGATATTCTGTGATTCTACAATTCTAATATGGGAGTTCTGTGTTCAACAAGCTGAGAGCTGATGATGTCTTTTGAAGTCAATGGCTGTCTCCTGATTGTAAGCTGTCTAAAACAGCAGAGGCTGGAACTGAGGTAGTTACATCCAAATGAGTTCTTAAGTGAATTAGGTTTTGATAGCAGCTCATCAATAGCTGACAGCTGGGTATTGATAGAAAAGAAGAGAGTGAAGACAATTTCTCATTTGCCATCTGCTAGGTGACAGCACAGACATCTAATTCATTTCTATATGAGGAACCATTAGTGCCATGCACACATTTCTGCAAGGACCCAATGGTCATTCCTAGCATGTCACTTGCTAGCAGTACCTTCCTGCCAAAAGCAACAGAATTGGCCCAAATACTTGGTTTATATTTAGCTGAGTTTAGCAAGGAGATGAAGAGTCAACACTTGTCACAAAATACACTTGTGTCCAAGATAGCTACTGCGTGCAACTCTTGTGCTCTTGAGTGTGTTAAGCATCTCCAGACAATGATCAGACAAAATATTCAGCACAGATTGCACAATCCAGTTATACCACTCATGCAGAAGCAGTGATACGCAGAAGTGAGTAAAAGTTTAGCAACTGGAACTTCAGTTGTTTCTCTGACATCACAAGGGATTTACTGAAGGGCAAATGTATTTCTTATACCAAACAGCCAATGTTCGTAAAGCAGACTCCAGCACCAATTGACAAGCTCCGTCTTTGAAATGGAAACAGAAAGAGAGCTCATATTATATTTCTACCTTTGTGCACTGTCTACAGGTACCAGGCTGCCAGTTTCCTAAGATGGGTGCTTGAGTTTAGGTCTAAATCTAGAAGGAACAAATCTGGGCACCATCTGCCACGTGAAGATGCAAAGAACAGATAACTTGCTCTTCTTTCTGCTGTAGCAGCAGAACAGAATAAATGTATGGACCTGTAACAGGGAATCATAGAATCATCTAAATAAGAGAAGACCTTCAAGACCATGAAGTCCAACCATCAACCTGACCTACTGAATCTCATCACTAAACCAAGTGCCAGGTACAGTGAGACACTCAAGTAGAACTGCTGCATTACTTACCTGAGGTCAGACTGATGGGCCTGGAATTCCCTGAATCCTCCTTCTTACCCTTTGTATAGGCTGGAGTCACATCCACTAACCTCTAGTCAACTAAGACCACCTCAGTTAGCCAGAACCACCAGTAAATTATTGCTACTGGCTTAGTGTAAGATATTTCTGAGATTCCTTTTTCAGCTGTCATAATTCAAGAGATATGATCCAATGTAGAAATGCTGAAGACACTGTCAACGAAAAAGACTTGGGGAACTTCTAGCTCAGAATTAGACTTTGGACTTAAACCAATGCTGTTCCTCGGCACAGTGGACAGAGTTTAAAAGAGCACAAATTGGTGAGCTACAAAGTTAGTTAGAAAGGGGGAGAATTATTTCGACTAGGGCCAGGCACATTGGGGAAAGAAACCAAAAGTAATTCCAATGAGAAATACTGATAGGCTGTGGAATTAAAGGCCTGCTCTTTCTTCTCTTTCCTTACAGTCTGGAGTATGCTGTGTAGCTCATCATATTTTTGGCTTCTGGCACATATTTTATTAACTTCCATTATATATAGAAACAAAACAGACCACTATTTAAAAAAATGCCGTGAGTAAAAAAAGAAATGTAATGGCATATTCAAAGAGTAATTAAAGACTCTCTTATGAAAGTTAAAAGCCAAGAAGAGTTTGAGAGACTTTCACACACAAAATATTGTACAAAAAGTATATGTGAATCCATTTGCATCCACATTTGTGAGCCATGTGACTCCCTCTGAGATTTAGTTTGGCTTCTCAGTTTAAAGCATTACAGATACTGAAAACAGAGGACTAAAAAGTTGGCTTGCTATCAAACCCAAGCTTCAGTTTAGATGATGCAGGAGAAACCGATACAATTGGACCTCATTTAACTCATTCCAGTCTGTTCAATTACTGTCACCATTAGAGAAGGCTTCATGTGCCAAAACCCTTTAAGACCAGTAAGGTCCAATAAAGATTCCTAGCAAAAGATCCACTAGCAAAAGCACTAGCACTAAACTATTAGCATCTTGTTCATAGACTGAATGCCATAAAGGAAAAATGATATTCAGCAATATAGCTTTATTTTTCTTTTATGTTCTTGCTATTCCAGAGATCTGGTTGTATTTCAGATACTTGTAAGTAGCACAAAGATGACAAAAAATCATTAGCATGAAATATGCTATCAACTATCTTGTGATCATAGACCTAGATTACAGACAAGGCCTGATAGCTACTGGTGTTGGTGTTGCTACTCCTGTTGTTTTTTCATTGATTCTATGATTTTATCATTCATAGGAGCAATTTGCTACACACAAGTGCCTTCTGCTCCTCAGTTTAATGTAATATAAGCTTAAGACATCCTTGTGCATATGTGAAAGAACCCCCAGTAATTTTAACTGTATCTTGTAGAAGGAATTCCCCCAAGAGAGAGGCTATTTTAGCTTGTCGCTTTTTCACAGACATTAGTGAAGAAGATGGAAAGGGATCCATGGAAAGGGAAACGGATCCAAAGATTTCACCTCTGTCATAACTACTGTGGGGAAAAATCTGCAGCTGCAAGAAAATAATCCACAGAAATTAAATTTATATATTTTGTAACCATCCCTAGAGCACCTCAAATAAGTTTGTCAGTGGAAAGGATAATTAATGAAGGTTAGGTGGTTATTGTTGGAAATTACAACCACACCTGAATGGAACTTACTGTGAGATCTGCAGCAGCAACATGGAACTCACTTTATATCTGATTTTGTAATACAATGAGATTCAAATCCTGGGTCTAACTGCTGGTTAATACAGATACACTTTCTATGGAGTAAATGGACCCCTGGCAACTCATCTCTGCTAATGATCGGATGAATATTCATTGAAAGATTCTATGAGCCTACAGGTCTTTCTCAATGAATGTGCACCTTGACCATAACAAAGTCTGACAGATCTATAGTTCTGCAGGAATCCCAATGAGTATTTACCCTTTTCAATGTGGAATCAAAGTAGAAGCGAGGAAAAAGGGAAACCATGTGATCTGAAAGTAAAAATCCCCATATAGTCATGTAAGAATATGAATCATAACCTCAAAGCAGAACACTATAAAGTTTTAGGAAGTTCATGGATCTACAACTTCAGCAGAACTTGGCACACCTGAATGTCAGTACCTCATGTCCAGCACCCCAAGCCAGGGCTTTGCACCATTGGACTCTTACAACACCAATGATTTTTGAGTTTATTGACTAATCCATTTATTTTTTGCAAAATTTCCCTGCAGACTTATCCAGTATCCACAGCAACAGGCTGCTGGGAAGTTGTCAAATATCATGACGTGACTTTTGCTGGATGGTAACTCCACAGAGGGGCTCTTCTTTTCTCTGTCCCTCCCCAGTTCACTCCAGTGTGAAGATGAAGGAGGCCCAGATCCAAACCTTAAAGCTTGTTACATAAATAAAAAGCACAACGCAATACCTCATCGAAATAAATTATCTTTTCATATAAAAATCTTCTAAAGCCCATTTCTGGAAGAATAATAGAGCTGCCAGTCCAACACCTGCAGGGTTGGAAATAATTTACTCAGCCTCGCTGACTTTTAGGCAGGTTCTTCACTTGACGAATGGCCCAATTAAACATCTGTTAATCACAGCGTTATCTCATCTTGAGGTGAAATACCTATTTCTCATATCCTATCTTTCTGCCAGATAACATCGGACGGTCCCTGATCCGTGAGGCAATCTCATGGTTCAAATAACTGTGCTGGGGAGCCACGTCCCGAGCCCACCGTCCCGAGGAGACAGAGGGAAGTCTGCTCCATCGCTGCCCACCCCCTCAGCACAACCTCCCCGTAACCTCGGGCTCCTGAACTCTCTTGTACGTTTTAGGCCTTGATAATAAAGCAACATCTGCAAACTTACAAGTGCTTTACTCGAGTTAATTGAGTAAATTGAAGCAAGATGCGGTGCAGGGGTGATCTATGATCCCGGGTTGCGGGCCTAGAAGGGAGACAACAGATTTACTGCAAAGACAGTGGGCGGCCGTTTGTTCAGGGCCTGGTTCACGGGAAGTTTGAGGTCACGAGGGATTAAAATATCTTCAGAAACAAATGGAATAATTTGGCTGAAATATAAGGCACACAGTGCCAGCTTATGCCAGGAAACCAGGTGTGATTTATGCGCCTTCAATCCAACACATTTTTCTGATATCTGCCCCATTAGGTTGAATTTATAGATTACTGGGAGAATATGTGTCCTCGTCTCTACTCATCTGACATGTTTGTACTCTGGAGAGCAGTTCAAAGCATTGCAAAATAAATACAGCGGTGCATTACCAGCACAAAGACAAAGGCCTACTTTAGTGGGATCTCAGGGGGGAAAAGGAAAAAGAAACAAACTGAAACAAAGACCCAACCTCCCATTTGCTATACTTGTTCAGGAATTACTTATTAAAAAGGACATTAAACAGGTAATGCTCTTTCTCCTATAATCTGTACAAGTCATTAAGTTTAAGCACAATTCGCCACCTTGAAGCAATTGGATACATTGTAATTTGTTTTATGGCCTCACAGATGCAAGGTATTTGCTGGGCTATAAATACATAAAAGTGGTTTATATGAGCAGCCCTTACCCTCAGAGAGCTATGAGAGGAGAACCTCTCCTGGTTTTCCTATTCGCATCCACACACGCATGCACACACACACTCATGTACTATATATGTTGATATTATTTTTTTAAAGCCTGGCTCGCTTTTAGTGGGATACGTTGTCCCTTTTGTAGTTTCTCTGCTGCTTTATTAAATCCCAAATTCCTTACAAAACTGTACAATTTTAATAACGCAAATCCATGCAGGTCATAAAGCTGTCGAAATGTACATAGCACCAGCCGTGATCAGCTGCAGTGATATCATCAACCCTGATTAGCTAGAGCCGGTCACACGACAAGGTTTTATTACAAGTGTCATTTACATTTTTGACAGTTTTACAAGGCTTAATGGCTTTGTATTAAATACATTGTGTTTCGAGGAAACTGACAGTTCAGGGTATCTTGTAAAAACAATGCTTTGGTATTTCCTCAGAAGCAATATTCAGGGCAAAAATGAAACTTATAATATTCTGGCTGTAAACAGGGACATTTCACAGGAAAAAATAAATAAATAAATAAATAAATAAAACCCAAAGTTCAGCCAACCCAAGGTTTAATACAAGAATCAGAAAAGGCTAGGAAAAATATTTTATCTATAGCGCCTTTCAATTTTCTATCAAGAGACATGTCTTGTAACATACTACAAGAAGTTTCATTATCAACCAGTGAAAATCCTGGGCACGTTCCCCACAGAAATTAATAGGAAAATGCTCTTTCTGGCCTTTTACAAAATTTTCCTAGGAAAACACCTTTTATTGTTTGGTTTTCTCACAAGCAACAAGCACTGCCCTGGGGAGCTTACATGTTTCTGAACTTTCCTAACAGTCTGATATCTATTTTTAATTTTGCAAAGACACCTTGCCAAAACTGAGCATTTCTCACACAGTTTAAATTAGAAATGGGGATGAAATTGGTAAGATCACCTCTGTTTCTACATGGACAATGGTTTCATTTAGGTTTTAGGTAGAGACGTTTAGAAGGAAACCTTCTGATCTTTGAAGGGCAATACAACAAAATCAAACCCTACAGCTGTTCAGAAATAACGTCAGTTATTTCTGAAATTAAAATAAATTCCTCAACCTGAAAACTCCCTTGAATTGAAAGAACTAGATGGTTTACACAACCAAATCCCAAGCGGACTGATCATTGAGTCCAGTGCATCAAATCTAAGTTTTTTCCCCCACAGGGTATCCACTTACACATGTAATGGTTCTCCAACTGATTAAATTTGTGCAACCTGTTATTTACTATATGAATTAGCTTCTTATTCCCAGATGTATTTCATTCACTGTTGTTCCTGTGCCAATTTCCCAGCAACATGGCACTAACATCTCTTATCATTTACATGCAAAGGTTTTATTACTTTGATTATATCAACATAATAAAAATGGTACAGTTTCTTTATGCCACAGCCTCTTCTTTACGTGGTGACCAGTATGAAATTACTCACACAAGTGGAAGCAAGATTTTTGATGGTATGACTGAATACACACTAGAGATTAGCTACTTAGGTTAAAAAAATGAGCAAGGTCAAAATCATAGTACCAAACAAAGCTGTAATATCAGCATAAAAAATGATTTTACCCTGGGACTTAAATGAAAGAAGACTGATATTCCCTCCTCTGTACATATCTGTGTAAGGCATTAGAACCACTCTGGTGCTTTTTGAGTGTATAGTTTTTAAAGTCTTTTTTCATTAAGAAAAAAATGATTCTACACACAATAACTTACCATCTTCACTGATTTCAAGGAGCAGTAAGGGAGCTTTTGTTTTGTTTTGCTACACACAAACACACTAGTTTGAAATTTTGATTGTTTATAGAGATAATTCTAGCATGTCCCTGCATTTATTAGTGTGAACTTTTCAACCACTCACTGATTACTCTAAAAAAGGTCAGCCATTTGACTCACCCTAATTCTATGCACATTATTTCAGAGTTGTCTGTGGCCCATATGCAGGTGATCTGTTCAACAGCTACTTGCCAATACAGAAGTCCTGCATAGTCCATAGAAATAACCCCGAAATGTTGTAGAAGTTCAAGAGAATGGGTGCTATCTGAGATCAATCATAATGAAGTACTTTTAGCAAAGCAAATCTGTCATCACTTGCCCATTAGTGCTTGGGTATCCTGTTCGTAACTTCAAGGAACGACTTTCTCCTTGAAGAAACCACAGAAAATGTGAATGTAATTTGTGTTGTTTGTAAGGCTTTCCTCTCCCATTCTACATCCCATGGAGTTCTGCTTGTCCCACTTGCCCCCTTCCCAGGGTTTCTCCCCCCAGAGCTGATGCCTAGCCAGCCACACGATGACCCTTCCCATCTGTCCCTGAATCCTTTGTTGGGGCCATAACTTTGACCTAATATCAGTGATTTTCTAGATGGAGACCTGCCCGCTGTAAAGGAAAAAGCTATTGATTGGGTTATTCCAGCTCAACACATACGATAGTTCCATTGGTTTCAAATTAGTGATAAGCGAGGACAGCAGCCAGTTCCAAAGCCCTCCTGGATGGCTTATGGGATACAGAGGAGCCAGTTGCAGGAGCATGTTTCTCTGCACCTCCTCTGCCAGCACATTGCCACTGTGGCACAGGAGCCCCTCTGGTGGGTCCTCTCCCCTGGCAGCCAGTCATTCCTACTGCTTGTGGCCGCCCAATCCAGAGCCAGCCTCCCTGGCCTCCCCTGCCTCAACAGCAGGTTGTGGATGGGCTGTTCTGTATTAAAGTTTGGAAATGAAAGTGAAAGCACATGTGAGACCTGCTGAACAGAACAGCAGAACCGGAGACTTAGTTGTATGCCAGAAGCCACAACCAGATAGAAATCACAGGTTAGTCAGGAAATTACTTGCATTTAATTTGGGGCCGTGTCTCCTGGGAGGAGGCTGGCCCTTTCCTGTTGTGCAGTGATGTTGCCCCCGGGTATAATTTGCCTTTTTCATAAGCAAGGGTGCTATCTCCTCTTTCCTCAAAGAGACCTTTCAAAGCCAGCTGAGGAGAATCAAATGTGGCACATTAGCAATAGGACAATGGTAAAGTCATTATAAATTGACTTCCTTGACTACCCTGAGCTTCAGTAATCTGGATATATTACTAGCATGATTCTGCAATAAAACTGAAGCAGCTAGTTCCTCCACTTGAATTAAAATCAACCTCTCCCTTCCACTTCAGAGAGGCAAGACATGCTTCCATCTTCTGGGGACACGGTGCCCAGCCAATGAGTCTTCTACTCCTTATGCATACGCCCAAGGGAGGGATCCTTTCCCAGCAGGTGTGGGTATGGCCACAGCACACAGCAAGTTCTGCAAGACTCAGAAAA